TTTAGAGATTTGTTCTGGCATAGATACGAACTTTTGTTTGTTTCTTGTAGAGAAAAGACACGCATCAAAAAAAAAAAAACTGGGAAAAATTTTTTTGAAGAACAGTGCAGTTTGGCGAAGTCAAAGATTTTACTTCCGCAGAGAAGTATATCTAACAGAGGTCTACCAAGCAAATGATGAACTCTTTAATTTGCGTTTCTCTGATAACTGCTCTAAACATTAAAATCAAAATGTGACACAGTTTTCAAGGTAGCCCATTTCTTTTAGATAATAGACTGATTGCACTGCAGACCTTCGTTTCAAAAACTTAGTCATTCATCTCTATTTAGTGAACAATGCAGTAATCTTAAAATGAAAGTGATCTAATATCATTTGGAAATGTTTGAAATTACAACAATCTGTGTACATTTGACAAGTTCCAAAATGTATATTGATTTGTTATTTGCCACAGTTCTTTGTCATAATTTGTGGTGTTTACTTGTTTAGCAAATTGGTGACGACAATTTAAATTAATCATCACTTGAACTAGGGCTAATACTGTTCGTTTCTTTTCTACTTGAGTTTTAAATAAACGAATAATCGTTTTTTTCTTGTTTGACGAACAAAGAAAAAACACTGGAATAGACCTGTACTATGAAAGGTATATAATCAGAATTTCTTATTCGGTCTGCACTAGTTCACCTTCTAAATATTTTTCTTTCAAAAAGCTTACTTGTTTGTACTATACAGATCTTTAATTTACCAATTAATTTTTGTCGTCAAAAAAACTTCTACTTATTATTTCGCACTATTCTTCGTAAAGCTACTTCAAAAGGCTCAAACTTATAAAATCTTCTGTTGCTTTTTCTTTATTTGTTCATTGAAAACAAAGCTTTTTTTAAATAACTTTGAGCAGAATGTATTTTAAAAAATATTCTTCACTGACAATCCAAAAAAAATTTTTTTATTGCTTGAAAATAAATCAAAACTGCTTTCAATTGTGATTCTTATTTGTTAAAAATCAGTTGCTTTTATAATTTTCTATCTGATAGTCTAGGAAGGGAAACAGTGATTCAGTAATTAAAACTTTTGATTTGTAATAAATCTGTTTTCAGCAGTCAAAAGTGATCGATAATGTTGTTCATTCTGCTACCCTTGTTAACATTAATTGGCACCGTTGAATCAAATTGTGGATGCTGTATCCATAATCCCTGTCAGCAGCCTCCACCGTGCCCACCGCCTGTAGAGTGTCCACCACAAATTTGCGATTGTCCTCTTCCACCCCCACCTCCACCGCCTAGGAAGTGTTTTTGCCGAGTAAGACTGCTATTTACTGTCTCATTTGTGAAAAATTTATCTTTAAATAAAGCGTTGTTAGCAAAGTACTTGAAAAGCCTACGCTTATTAATATTAGTAACGAAACCAGATAATTAAAAAGCTTTTGAAACTAATCAAAATTTAAATTGCAGACTATGTTTCCACCTCCGCCTCCTCCTCCAGCTATGTCTGTAAATACTTGTTGTGTGACATGCACATCTCCCTGTGGTTTCGCAAGGAGAAGAAGACGTGATGTTTCAAAAGCAGAATCTAGCATTTTTTCGATTAAAGGTATCACTGATGACCCGGTGTGCAATAATTTGAAGCTGAAGAGAATTATGGAAGAGGTAGAACTTAATGTAATTACCACTTGTTTAGCTGCTTTATAGAAGGTATTTTAGTTCTCTTACTCGGTTTTTTAGAATATGATAGAAGACGCGGCAACTTCTCGACGAAAAGTTAAAGAAGCTGCTGAAAACAAACTTCGCAGCAAGTTTTCTGTCATTTGTGCCGCTGGCGATTTCTCGTACTCAGCATATACGGAAAGCTTCTGCCAAGTTCGAAAAGAGAAATTTACGTGCTATGCTTTTGAAACAAATTTTTAACGTTTGTTCAAGCAATCTATGGCGAAGTTGTGACGGGTTGTACAAGTTTGCAATAATTATTCTCCTCAATGACGTATTCTTTGTAACAATCAAATAAAGATGCTGATGCTATTAGCAGATCGTTTGCTGCACTGCATTTTCCGTTTTTTATGGTAATTTTTTAAAAGAGATCTGTTACAGTCCAATACGGTTGTACTAGCGGTTTTGTCTAACTAAAAAAAGAATGTTCTTAATGAAGTGGTAGACGAGCCCCAAAGGGTTATTCAAATAAAACAGAATATCTCTTTTCAAGTGGAATGACAGCTTAGCCGCGCCTTCTTTTCTCTTTTCAAGGTTTTTTGCGGAAAAAGTAGCAGTAATTGTTAAGAATTGAGAAAACAGGCAACGAAAAACAGAGGTGCAAGATACGGTAAGAGAAAGAAGGAAATAGATTTATAAATGAAGGCAAGTAATAAAGGTATGCAGAAGAGTTAAAAACCAGAAAGAGCAAGAAGGAAAAGAGTTGCTGCGACAGAGGATAACCATATTACGTGCTGAAAAGCAACAATAGGTGTTGCATAGCAAATAATTAGAACAAAAGAAAATATTAAATACTATTTTTGAAATAAAAGAATTTTATAAAATTTTTTATAATATTCAAACGGCTTCTGTGGGATGCTATTTGGGGTATGCAAGAGAAGGTCGACTTGTGCAATTGCAAATCACCACACAAAAGCCTATTTAAGAAAAAGCACAGTATTTAGAGTCTTTTCTTTCTTCCTTCCTTGCTCCGTTATATTTCTTCCTTCCGGCCCTTCTCCGAGTTTCTTTGGTTGCAACCGAGCCGTCTATGATATTGTTGGTAAGTTCCTTGTTAGAACGATTGGTTTTACGCTTTCCGGTTCACGCGAGTATGAATTTGTGTTGAAAGTACCAGTGTGGTGGTTTCTTCGTTTGAAGAGTATTGTCCGGAAAATTTCTTCTTCTGTTGCTCAGATTTGCTACCAGTGTTATACTCGTACTTGACTTTTTGTATATTTATGAAGAAACTCACAAAGACACGAATCAACAATTTGTACTCTTGTGTATAAAAGTGAATGAAGTTATATTATTATTTAGTTTTATAGTGGGGCTTAAATGAGACTGAGCCTAGAGTTGGGAGAGAGTACTTGCACAAAGAGTCCTATAGAGGTTATAAGGTAACTCACGTTTAAGAATGTTTGAAGAAATTCTTCTCATTTTTTAATTTTTTGTAAATTATTACTCAACATTTAAAACTTTATGTCTAGAGTGAAGGGTAGTCAGTTAATAGTAAAGTCAGGTACCATTAGAGCCGTAATTAGCAGATTTTTAAAAGATTAAAGAGAGACCTAGAAACGGTAGAGGAGTGACCAAGGAAAGTACCACTAGCAAAAGATAAATTACAACAATTTTTAAAACAGACAGAGAGCAGCGTAAAAAGAATTGAAAAAAAACGTAGAGTACGGTAAGTTCTATGAAAATTTAGTCATTAATAAGTTAGAAATAGAAGAGAATCAGTGCGAGAATTTCGCCAGAAAATAACTTTTTAGATGACTTAATAATTGCCGCTGATAATACTGATAGCATCTAGCAAGTACTTGAGATAACTGGTGGTGGTCTTTAACTAACATAGTATAAAGGTAGTGCTAATACTGTTAAGCTACCTAGAGTACTCTTGCACACATTTGATAGAGACCCTCTCCAGTGGAAAGGCTTCTGAGAGGATTTTTTTGTCTTGGTAGAGAATCAAGTTTTGTTTCGACGTACAAAAATTCTCTTATCTAAAAGGCTATCTTTTAAGGAAGACCAAAGAATTAAATGAGGGTTTAGAATTAAATAATTGTATTTATCAAACAGCAAAATAAATTTTGAGTGGTAGGTTTAGTAATAAGCGATCAATTAAGGAACTGTTATACAGTCAGCTTAAGAAATTTCTTTCCTGTAGTAACTTAGCTGATGATTTACAGGAATTGATGGTTAAAGTAGATAAGGTAGTTAGGCATTTAAAGAGGCGAGGAGAAAATATTAGTCAGGAAATGATTCTAATAGCTGTAGAGAAAAAATTACCAAAACAATTAATAATTGGTTCAAAAAGTGATAAAGAAAAAAGAGAAGGTGTGAATACTGAGGGAGAACAATCAAGAGAAACTGAGCAGTTATTAAGAGATTTAGAGGGGTATATCAAAATAACAGAAGAAACAGATGCCTTAGCAATGAAAGACGATAGAAGAAGTTATACTAATAGATTAAGAGAAAGCAATAGAAAGGATCACAAAACAGTGGTCACAAATATAAAAGCTAGTAGTACAATTCTTTGTCGTGTTTTTTGTGGCCAAACGCATTATAATGATATGTGTAGCATGTGTCCTTCTTCCTCTAATCTCCTCAAACGTGTTTTTCAATTACGTTTATGCTTTAAATGTTTAAAGGAAGACCATAGTCAAAGGTCTTGTAATTATTCTAGAGAATGCTTCTTGTCGATGAATTTATCAAATTTCATACTAATCTCAAAGCCATACTCTCTTGTTAAATTTGACTAAATTTAAGAAACCATGAAATTTTAAAGTTTTGTACACCTTATACTGTATTTAAACCAAATTACATGTAATTTACCAAATCTCACTAGTTAATTAAGTGTTATTCACTTCTTTACTTTATTAATTTTGTACTTTATTATTTCTTTACTAAATTACAATTGAAAAATAATGAGTTACTGTCGTCATTAGAAACCGGAAAAGGCGGTTGACGCCAATTTATTTGGGAAGAATTTGAAGAAAAATTGCTGTAAACGGTCGATCAAATTTTTCATTCAGCAGGTCGGCAACTTCACTAAGTGTTCCAAATTTTATTTATAGCAGCCAAATTATAGTTCAGGCTTTGCTCAGGCGAACTATTTAAGCTAACATAGAATTGTTAAGCTTATAATTTGATAAATATTAGCAGTTTTGATTCACATCAACTTTGTAAAAGCAATTGTTCTTCAATTCTCAAAATTTCAATAAACTTATCACTTATTCTATCGCGCTACATTCAACCTACTAGAAGTATAAGTACGCAGAAAAGAGCATAAGATAAATATATAAAAATCTAAAAAATTAAAATTACGGTGTTTTGACAGAGGAGGAACTGACCTTAATAATAGAGGTCTAGTTGAGTCTTCATTCAAAAAAAATTAATTACTGTATGAATTATAAGTTCCACTACACTTTACTGTAAAAGTCAAAATCATGATTGAGCATTATGCAGTAAATTTACAAAAGATTAAAAATTTAAAATCGTATTCGAACAAAAGAAAGAGTGTAATTCAAAGTCTAATAATGAAGTTTCAAATTTAAAAATTCTGAAGTTTGATAATGTCTTTAATACTGAAAAAATTTCATCATCTGAGAATTAGTTAAATGTCTCATTCTTCAATTATGAACAAGGAGCAAGTAACACTTCCTCTAAGAGTAAACGTGCAACTGTCGTTAATGAGATTAAAATTTATTCTTTATTGGCTCCAGAAACTTTAATGTTAACCACAAAGTACTGCTTTGGTACACAATGACTCAGGTGCAAAATAAATAGAGTGCTAGTTTTAGACTTGGAATAAAATTATTCTGAAATCGCTCCTATTATTATGGAAACCGATTGAGAAGGAACGAGTATTAGAGATGAATTAGAAGTTTTTTTGTACTTTCAGTTAACTATAGACGAAGTCTCAGGAAGAGTACAAAATTTAAGAGGAACATATATCAAAAGTTGTGTAAAAGCTAGATTTTTATAAACTACTCTAAAGGCAGGTAAAAATATCAATATTAAGAAAAAATAGATGTGATAACTATTCCAGAATTAGTTCAGGCGATGTGAAATGGAGGAACAACAAGGGAAGAGACTTAAATTGAAGAAGGGATAAAAGAACAAGAGAAAATAATGAAGCATATTCATGGTTAAATGCTCCAAGGAGGGGAGCTATTAGATGTAAAAGTTTCAGTAACACCTGAAATTGTTTGCGCATATCAGACAAAGATGAAAACGTTATAAAGCTTTCTGAGAGGGTATGCCGCCTGGTAAAGTTGTCGTTGAAGGACACTAGAATTGTAAAATCGGCATAACTAAACACAAAACAAAGAAAGTTTTTAAAGTTATAACAATTCGAGACGTTATCTTATGGAGCTATAGCAGTAATAAACCCTGAACATTTAACATATGGCTACGATGACTAAAATGCTGTTGTCATCTGTCCGGAAGATCTTTTTTCTTCCGAACTAGGCCGTTCAGTAATTTTTCTGTGTCGTTTAACGTTTTTTGTCATGCTTAACTCAAGAAATCGTATTTCTAATTCCAGTTTTTTAATGCCAAAATAACTCAAGGATAATTTTTTGTACAATGCAAAGTATTTTTCAAAAAAAACCTCAAATTAATTACTACTTGTTACCCCTGCAATGACTCTTTTTCTACAACACGACTTCTTATTACGCAATTAAAACTTGTTTTTTATTAAGTTCATTTTTTGGCTGATTTGTTTCTCTGCTCTTCTGGTCTTTCTAGCTAAACGCACTTACTAAGGTGCTTGTTTTATTTTTTCAATTTTTTTATTTACTCGTTGCCGTTACACCTTTGAAAAGCTTTTAAAGGTTTGTGTTATTTAATTGTTTAATCTGGCAACGTAACGCAAACAGCACTTGCGGTCTTGTGGTGTAGTGGTTATCACGTCTGCTTCACACGCAGAAGGTCGCCGTTTCGAACTTGGCCAGGACGCGGACGATTCATATTTGACTGGTTGCTCGCGCTTCTACAATTCAGTATCGCGTTCTTAACCTGTCATTGTGGTAGCTTTCTGAATATACGTTTTTGATCGCCAACTTTTGTTCGACTTGATGGAGCAAGACTTCTTCTCTGTTCTCTCTCTGTTGTTGTGCTGTTCTGCTGTCGCTTGTTTAGGAAGCATCAAAGTTTGACTAAACGAAAGCGCATTTTCGTAAACAAATTTAGTCATTGTTATTTCAAACATCAAAGGC